CAACTTATTTACTCTAGCAATAAAAAGCCACCTCAGTTGCAGGAATAATTAATAATTTGAGATGCGCGTTTTGATTTTAACCAGAACGAGAGAATTTTACCTTCAGATACTTGAATATATTTCAAACAAAGGTGCTACTATAATAAATATAACTGTGTAAAAAACTATGAATAAAAACGAGTATGGAAACCGCAGGTTTAGTACTCAGTGGCAATCAATTGTTGAGATTTTGTTGGTGGCCATCATTCTAGCATTTTGTGATTTACTTGATTCTATTTTATCTTCTCATACTAACAAAAACTGTGATTAAGACGGCAACCGTTATGCACTGACTTTTGAGTAAGCACATCAGAACGATGACCTTTGCTATTATCAGAAAATGTGCCAAACCCGGTCTCAAAAGTGCAAAAGGTCTCAATTTGATTATGATTACTGTCAACGTTCGTAAACAATTTCCAGATAACTGCTTAACTTTATAGAGCCATTTTCAGATTCCAAAGCGACGTGCACGCTGTTTGGGAGATGCTCAGCAGCTCGACCCGCATCTATCGTTTGCCTGCCACTTGACTCCTCGTTTGAGTCATTCAAACATTGGTTTCCACGATCTTTATTGGAACTACAAGGACGACAAGGTATGCGCGCGTGGCATAACGTTGACTGTTGAATGTACATTTCCAAAAATTGGTGAAAGCTTTGAAATTTTTGTAAAAAAAGAGCAGTACATTACAGCTTCGCAAACGACGTGTGCGTGTCTCCAAACTTGTGCGACTGGTGCGGCTGGAGGGAATGCCAAGAGAAAGTCCGATCTGCTTAGTTCGAACAGCTCTTTACGATCGAAGCAGGAAAACTGGCAGGCAAATTGTAAAGCAATTTTTCGATCTTTCATTGGTTTCTGAAGTGTTACTAATTTAGGTCAGTAACGTGCATACCATAAGATCCCAGGTCAAGAATCGTACTTGGACTTTTAACAGTCGGGTAGGACGAAGCAGTCAAGAATATATAAAATTGGTAAAAGCAATGTACAGCTTTAGACGGACACAACATCATCTGGCGTGGACTATGGAGATTTCGTTGTTCGATCAAACTACAATATGGATGATGTCGTGCTTCTGATCGAAGCTTCTCATATCGTTGAAACTCCGGTATGATTTGCTTTTACGGTGTCCATCAACGGTAGAATATGTTGGCCCACGTCCAAACTATCGCAGACTTCTGCTTTAGTCGTCATTATCCACAGATTCTGCTAAGCGTAATCACTGGAAATATAAAGGTGTACACTTACGTCAAACCACGGGCGTTTGCCTTAATAAAATTTCAGAAATACTGGCTTTCCTTTTCTTAGTCAAGAACACTCATCTGTATTTCAGTACCAAGTGCAAAATCTTGTCTCGTCCAAACATGAAAATCTTTTATTTTAAATGGTTTGATGATATAGATTTTCCAATTTTTATCACGATTTTTTCGGACTATTTTGCTTAACTTTTGAATAATTTGAGCTTTCTACGCTCTAGAAATTTTCTCATGTATACTCAGTTTTCTCGTAATTATACACCCTTTTTTCAGGCTGGTCCCGAAGAAAGAAGTTTAGGCATCATTACTATACCGCTAATTACTAGAGGACAAGTATCAATAGCTAACAAGTAAGGCTTTAGAGCTTGTATAGAATTTGAGCTAAGTAGTCCTTTTTAGGACATACTCTGAATACTTACGTGGAGAAAATGTTTTCGATCCCACAAGGGAAGGAGCACAGCCTACTCAGTTCAAGATCGTTTTGAAAGTCCTTGATGTTCCACAGGAGCTGGTACCTCTAGTCGAGTAGGTCACTCTTTATTTATCTGTTTGGTTTATTTTGCCTGATTATAGAAATTTCGAAAATTTAGCTCGATGCCTGATGTATTGCTCTTCAATCCAATGTTTGTGAGGTTGTACTTCTTCTTCCGACGCCGTGCCGGAACCACACTTTTGCGCGATCGAGATAATCCCCTTAGTGCAGGCAAGTTGCAAGTTTAGCCTATCTTTGGAAGCTTATCTTCATGGAAAGCGAATGTTAGAGAAGCGTGGAAAAAGTGCAGCTTGGCCTTATCCTGCTGAATTTGCAGAAATGGTGTCTGATCCATTATTAGCCTTGTTTCCGTCGGTAGCGGATCAACCGGACATGATGGATCAGCTCAGAACTTTGTGGAATGCTAAGCTGAAAACTATAAAAAATGTGAGTGCCACTTTTCAAATGTAATGTTCCCCTCGATAAAATTAAGCAAATGAATAATTAAAAAGAATGTCTACGATGTCTACGATTACCATAAATTGTCCTTGAGCATCAAAAATGTTTTTCCCGTCCCGATGTTGCAAGTAAAGAAGCAATCATAATTTTGCCCAGCTTTTTACTCTCTTAAAGTTTTATGGTACAACCAACGCGTTTGTTCCGGTTGAATTTTACGAGAAAAAGTGATACAATT